TATATATATATAATATACTAATGCGGCGCAGCTACGTTGTCACTTGTGAACAGGTTGAGTTGTGAAAATTTACATATTGGCACTGTTCAAGTGTTGTCAGTGTGTTAGAGAGGGTAAATATCATGAATAAATTTGACATTAAACATAATCCAAGTTGAAGCGTTACATCATTTTCAGTCCCCTTTTTGGTATCTGCATTTGGTAGCAGACCAAACTGACAAAGACCATGCAGAACAATTTAATATTTTAATTCCACAGCAGAGAAAGAGCTCTGTAGTCTCTTTAAGTAGGTATAGGGAAAAAATATTGGTATTGGTATCGGTTATCGACCAAATAAGTTTTAATATATCGGCATATCGGATATCGGCCAAAGATCCAATATCGTGCATCTCTAAACCAAACTGTTTCTTTAGAGAAGGGTGTCCAAATTTTTTCATATCTGTGCCAAAACTATCACGATGAAAGGACTCGTGGACCACAAAAATGTGAATTGAATTCTCAACAACAGAGTGAACAATACTTTAGAGAAAGATTAAAAGTTTACTAATTTTGGTGGAGAAAGAGTTTTAAATTGTTATAGATTCAAAACTTGAAAAGCCTCATAAACATTAAGCTTCTATTTAATGATTTAATTTATCTGATCTCTTGTGTCTATGTTTGTTGTTTTCTTGTGCTTGGAAAGTTCGCTGTAGTCTGTTCACAGCAACACAAGTGTAATTTGAGTAAGTGTCCTTTTAAAAGGGGGTCGATCAGCCTTTTGGATCACGGACGACCCAAAAGGCTGATTGAAGTTCTGAAAAATCATCCAGCTGTCAGTCGCTACAACAGATTCTTTGAAGGTTTGATAAAGTTGATCAACTGGTATGTAGATGATGCCACTTTATGTTAAGTGAAAATGTCCTATTTCCCTCTATTGATTATATCAACTGCAATTTATTGTATTCAGTCAAGTTTTATGAATAATTATCCAAAAGTTTGTAAAGGTTTGTGGTGCTTTGTACATTGAAGTGAAAACGAAAACATTCACTATAGCTAAAGGTTTGTATTTTGCTTAATATTACCCATTTTAAGAAAAAAAAATTAATCTGTTTTGCTGTTAAACCTAAACATAATACAACAAGAATTTGTAGAAAGTCTGCTTTAACCTCTTAAGCATGCTGGCCAAAATGATACCATTCTTAAACTGCAGTTGTGGGCCACACAAAATCACTTCAAGGGCCGCAAATGGCCCTCGGGCCACACTTTGGACACCCCTGCTTTAGAGTTTGCCAGAAGATGCCAAAAAAGAGTCACAGGAGTAGAAGAACACAGCTTTGCCCGAGCTTGTCCTGCCACACACTGATGATACCATCACACAACAGCTCACGGTAACCTCAAACTGAATGTTACACAAGGAGTAAACAAAGAGTTTAACTTGTTACAGTTCGTTCTGTACGTTTATGTTAGCCCAGTCCATCTTACCTGGACACCTTTGTGTTCGTCTTCACACTCAGAACCAGATCACTGACGCACACCTCGTCTGAGCCACAGTCTTTTGTGAAGGGGATCTGAAAAAGTTAAAAGCCCAGGTAATTTACTTTGATACAGTTACACGGTTAGTTTTGATATGGGTGATAATGTAATTGCTTGTGTTATTTCTCTGTACTGCTGCCATAATACCTCATGAACCAGTAGACAGATTAAGTAATCATTGGATGAACATCTGACATCAACCCCGTTTACTTAGTCAACACAAATATGGCTGTCACTGTCAATTTTACAAATATTAATTTAGAACTGGGTGTGATGGTAGCTGAAAACCATCCCTAACACGCACTCTGAGCACTAACAGATCCAAATGAGATATTTGTTCAAAACTTTGGCATGCCAGGCAGCGGGGAGTACTGGTATGCGTTCCTTCAATCAATGCTACTTCTGTTGCTCAAGTGCTGCACCCAGTTTTGAACAACTCTGACAAATAAGTAAAATACATGCTTTCCACTTGAATTGGTTTCAGTTTTGTTGCTGAAACCAGAAATTGTGTGACTAAGCTAAACAAGACAGCTATTATCACATGGGCAAACCGTGTAATTTTAAATGACTGTGCAGACACATTGCAATTGTTTTTAATGGGTTGTCGGATCTATTTCCTGTTGATCATAAGAAAATAATAATAAAATTAAATATATATATATATATATTCAGAGGTGTTTTGCATTTAGATTGTGTTTATTACTTACAAAAAATTCATAGGCATTTGGAGAAAATGCGTCGAGGACTGGGTTTACATCTGCGCTCTCCTGCTCAACGTCCACTTTCAGACTGAGGGAATTCACAAAGTCCGGAGTTTCCTGTCGAACACACGGAGACGAACTTGAGCTAACATCCCCAAGCCAGAAGATACGAACACAATCAACACATTATTTTGTACACCGACCTGAACGTACACCTGGTTTTCAAAGCACAGGGGCACTGAAGAGATTTTTGCCTTCCCTTTCAGGTAACGCTCGTTGTTTTTTATGAACAGTCCTCTCGATGTCACTCGTGAATCCTGCAGGTCGGCGTCAAGAGTCAGCGTGTAGGAAGCATCTTAAAAAAAAAAATGAAGGTAAAAATAAACCCTCTGACAGCGCTCAAAGTTTTTATACTGCTTGATCATTTAAAAACTAAACTACCGTAATTTGCTTTCTTAAAAGAAGAAGTTTGATTACATTTATTGTACCAACAATAAATAAATAAACTGAACATATCTGGTCAAATTTTAAGCCTGTAAAAGAAAACTGTCTCCTAATTTACACTTTTAATTTTTTTCATGTTTATGCTTTTAACATAACAAAATGAAACATTTCAATAGAAAAGTTTGCAAATATCCCAGTATGTAAAAATAAAATTGTTTGTTGGCAAAAGTCTATTTCTGTAAATTTCTGAAACCATTTTGCATCTGTTGTTGATTAATTCACAGATTTCTGAAATCCCAGGTTGGGGATTGTCAGGGTCAGCTTACATCAACTGAGGTGATCTATATGGATCTGACGTGTGTAGAAACAACTTTGGGTTAAAACGGTTCTGTTTTTTATTCAAATGATTTGGTGAGGTTTCAGAATTTGTCAGTATTCAGTTCCATCACCAAATACTTTGGACCTAATTTCCCCCAACATTCCTGGTGACAACACAAGTTGACAGCAAGTCCTAAACATTTTCAAACCCTTTTAATTAACAGTGAAAGCAATACCTTTGCAAATGTATGTATCTATTTTTAAAGCTATGTACTCTTTATTCCTATTCTGAATTTTATTACAATAAAAAGTTTTATTTCGATCCAGTCGGTGCATGACGTAGCTTTTTGCTATTGAAACCTTAATTAGTTGAGCCAAAGTGGCAACCAGTTTTCATAAAAAGCTCCTGTCCTTATTGTTCTAAATCTGAAATTACTCAAAACTAATCAATAAACTGATCTATTCATTCTTACAAAAACAAAAATGATAAAAGTAACTAGAAAAATTGCATTTCCTGTGAAATGCAGTGTGAATTGCTGAAGAACTTGCCTAAAAACAGCTGAAATTTGCTAAAAACATGCTGAAATGCAGCTGAAATGGAAGAACAAGCATAACTTAGCAGAAAAAAGTAGAAAGAACACATATTTGCTGAATTTGGTTTAAATAAGCAGCAATGAGCACAAAAATTAGTAAATTAGCTAAAATATGTTGACATTAGCAAAAAAATAGCTAAAAAGTTGCCAAAATTGCAGAATGAAGCTTAAATTATCCGAAGGAGGTGGAGAGAGCAAAACTGTGCCCAAATGGGCTAAAAGAAGCGAAATGAGCACAAAAAAATATAAGATATATGATATGATATATATAGAGAGCCCATCTTATCACAAACAAAACTGGTTTGTTCCACTTTGGAGTAAGCTGTTGGGGGAAGAATCATTTTTGTTGTGTGTTTCCTTGACTGATGAAGCCTTCTGGATTGAAGGAGAAATGTTTCAGCACAAAAAAAAGAAACTGTCCAGATGACATGACTGAAAAATGCTGGATTGTATACCTGGATTATTGAGCATGGACTTTGTTGTATAAGATATATGAAAAAAGCATAAATAAATAAATCAAACAGCTGAATAGTAGCAAAAAAGGTAGAAAGAAGCTTAAATTACCAGAAGGAAGTGGAGAGAGCACATTTGTGCCCAGTTAGGCTGAAAGAAGCAGAAATGAACACAAAAAGTGGAAATTATCAGAAAAAAGCAGAAATTTGCAAAAAAAAACAAACAAAAAACAACAAGAGCTGAATAAAAGCTAAAAAAGCTGAAATAAGCTAAAATTGACTACATTTTTGCTGAATTAGGCAGAATTTTTTTTAAATGAGTGCAAAAAATGTGGAATTAGCTGAAAAAGCTAAAATTAGCATAAAACAGCTAAATAGTTGCTGAAATAGCAGAAATAGCTGAAACTTGCAAAAAGAAGCTGAAAGGAACACAACAAGCTGAAATTAGCAGTAAGACGTTAGAAGCACAAAAATGTTGTAGTTAGTAGAAATAATCTAAAAGGATCACCAGCTGAAAAAAACAGCTGAAATTAGCTGAAAGTAGCTGAATAAAGTTTAAATTTGCACAAAGAAGCTGAAAGAAGCTGAACCAGAACAAAATGTGAAAGGAGCAGTAAAAGGTCTAAAGCTATGAAGATATGAAAATCTAAATCTTAAACACTCTAAAGATCTAAAGATATGAAGGACGTAAAATGAGCTCAATTCATTTTCTTTGAGAAAAAAAATGGCAGAAAAGGCTAAATATTTGAAAAAGCTAAAGTTGCACCAAGAGTTTTAGCAGAATTGTCCTGAAAGAGCTGAACGTTTTGATTTATGATTTGCTGAAAAAGCACAAAAATTGTGTAATGAGAAAGATGCTGAAAAACGTATAGAACAGTGATAGAAACTGCCAAAAAATAAAAAATAAACAGGATCACAATAGTGTGAATGCTTAATAAGAATTCACACAATAAAAAGGAAATCATCGTGTTTTCACATCGTTTTGTAAAAGCTAAAAATAAGAAGCATTTCTATAAACTGATAATAAGAATTACCGACGGGCCCGACGGGTGTCTTGGGTCTGAACGAAGCTGTAAAACAAACGTTGGTGTTGAAGCACGAATGTTTGCGTCCGTTAACGTCGCAGAGTTTGTTGAAGATGTTGATTTTATCAGGGCTGAAGGAAGCTGTAGCTGTGACGACTGCCACTCCTCTGGACCTGAAATAAAAGTTCAGCTTCACCATACATACAGTACACTAATAGACTCAGAGACTGAGACTGATCATAGTACATAATGATTTGTATAATTCACCTAGTTTTAAATAATTAACAATTTCATGTAAGTCCAAAAACTTGTTTCTGTGTAGAGCTTAGAGCTTTAGCTCACCAGAGCTGCACCACCTTGCCATAAGCGCCGATGGAGATGTCAGGGATGGTGTCATCATTCAGATCTTTGAAGCTATCAAGAGATCTACCAAAATACTGAAGCTGAGGATCAAGTTTGGAGCCGAGGATTCTCTGTGCAAGAATAAACATCAACATATAACTGTAAAAATTATTTTATTTTTTTAACACTTGTAGATGATGAAACACGGCTAATTATGGATTAATATCTTTCCACTCTAAAGACGTACAAACTCCTGCTGTACCTGCGAGAAATCTTTGTTTATTGTCTTCTTGTTCCCGTTGTAAATGTAAATGACACCTTTTCTGTTTTCCTCCAGTGGTGCTCCAACCACGACGTCGCTGTAACCGTCGAGGTCAAGGTCAGGAACGGCAGAGATGGCCATTCCAAAACGAGCATTTTCAGCCGGGGTTGGACCGGTGAGGAATCCCTGCTCGTTCAGTATACCCTTCAGATAAAAACACATGAAGTCTGTCAGAGATGGAGCCAAAACAACCCTCTAGAGTTCCTTTTGTTGTAGGAAAAAACTATAAATGAGCAGTTATTTTTATGTTTCAGTGTCATGACCAGTCTAAAAATGGCATTTTGCTCATTGTTACCTTGGTGACAGAGAATACATAGACTCTGCCTTCTTCTCGCTTCAGGTCACTCATGTACATGGGCGCCCCAACCAGAAGAAGGTCTGACACCCCATCGATGTCCACGTCCAGAGAGCACAGAACGCTCCCAAAGTACGAGCCAATCTGCAACAGCCCAGTTCCATCTGTTTACTGGTGTTTCTCGAAATCCAAATGACACTTGAAACAACACGTTTGCTCTTTTGAGTGTGAATGAAACAAAAATGTCTGTACCTGTTTCCCTCTCTCCGAATCTATAACAGCAGCTTGTTTGCCAGCTTTGACAGTGTAGACAATAACTTGTCCAGAGTGGTTGGAACGAGGTGCACCGGCCACAAAGTACTCGGTGGACCCATCACTCAGAGTAGTTAGAGAGTAACCTGCAGGTAAACACAGGGAAAACAGGTAAACACTGTTAGCCTAAGTAAACTTTTAGTCAACCTTACGTTAGGTGGAGTAATGCAGCAACCAAGTCATTTTACAACAAATAAAGGATATGTTAAAATGATTTTGTGCATGTCCACTTTGTTTTGAAAAGAAGAGCCTCATCCAGTGGTTCCCAAACTCTGCATGTTGCAACCCACAACAGATGAAAATATTTGTTTGCTGATTTGAGTGTAAACATGAACTAGAGAAATTGCATTTCCTGCGAAAATGCAGTGTGAATGCTAATTGCTGAATAACTTGCTGAAAAACAGCTGAAATTAGCAAAGAAACATTATAAAATGTAACTGAAATGGAAGAACAAGCTTAAGTTAGCAGAAGAAAGAAAGAAAGAAAGAACACATATTTGCTGAATTTGGTTTGAATAAGAAGAAATGAGCACAAAAATTAGGAAATTAGCTAAGAAAAGCTGAATTTAGCAAAAATTGTTGAAATTTAGCTGAAAAGGCTGAAAGAAGCTTAAGCTATCAGAAGAAAGTGGAAGGAGCTAAAATGAGCTAAAAAAAAATAGTGGATTTAGCTGGAAAAGCTAAATTTAGCACAAAACAGCTAAATAGTAGCTGAAATAGCAGAAAAAGCTGAAACTAGCAGAAAAAAGCTGAAAGGAGTATGACAAACAGAAATTAGCAGAAATAAGCTAATTAGGTTGAAAGTAGCAGACATGACCAGAAAAAAACTTGAATTTATCTGAAAACAGCTGAAATTAGCTTGATAATGCTAAAAAAAAAGATAGCTGAAAAGGTAGAACAAGCGTAAATTAGCAGAAGAAAGAAGAAAGAACACGTTTGCTGAAAGAAACATAAACGAGCACAAAAAAAGTGGAAATTATCTGAAAAAAACTGAAATTAGCAAAAACAGCTAAAATGTAGCTAAAAAGGCAGAAAGAAGCTTAAATTACCAGAAGTGGAGAGAACACATTTTTACTGATGTGTGAAAAATGTTTAAATGAGTATGAAAAATTTGGAATTACCCCAAAAAACAACTAAAATTAGTATAAAAACAGCTAAACCGTGTCTGGAATAGCAGAAAAGGCTGAAAATTGCAAGAATAAGCTGAAAGGAGCATAACAAATTGAAATTAGAAGCAAAAGTTTTTCTTGGCATAAAAACTGCCTTTGGTTGGACCTCAGTGAAACAATATGTTGTTGTCCACCCCATTTTAAACACTCGGCACTCACTGTACACTTTTCTTTTCTTTGATAAACACATTTTTACAGACGAGTTCGTAGAGCAAAGTAAGAATAAAAGCGTAGAAGAAGAAATAACTTCTTCTACACTTGCCTATACACGCCAGTGTCTGTAGTGCACCTCTACTGGGGAAATTCTGGAACTGCAGGTAAAACAACACCAGTTTTTTTTTTTTTCTATTAAATTCAGTTTTTTAAATATAATTTGAACCAGTGGCGATTTTAACCTCTTTTTGGGGGGTGCTTAAGCACCCCTGAAAAATAAAGTACTAAAAAAAAAAATAATTTTGTCCAAATTTTGGACAATTTCGGCGGGCCAACTAAAAAGCCCAGCGGGCCGGGGTTTGCCCGTGCCTGAGTTAGAAGAGGCACAAAAATGTTTTAGTTAGAAAAAAAAATTTGAAAGGAGCACAAAACAGCTGAAAAAACAACTGAACACAGCTGAAAGTAGCAGAAAATAATTTAAAATTGCACAAGGAAGCTGAAAGAAGCTGAAGCAGAACAAAATGTGAAAGGAGCTGTAAAATATTGTAAACACATCTAAAGATTTGAAGGATGTAAAATGAGTTCAATTAATTTTCTAAAAGAAAAAAAGTGGCAGAAAAGGCCAAATATTTCAAAAAGCTAAAGTTGCACCAATACCAAAAGTCACACCCTTCTCCAGAAAGAGCTGAACAGTTTGCTATCTGGTTAAAATAGCACAAAAATTGTGGAATGAGAAAGATGCCGAAAAACGTACGGAAGAAAAATGGATCAGAATAGTGTGAATGTTTCATAAACACACACAATTACCCTGATTCAAGAAGGCCCCATACAGCAAAGCTACAACTCAGTCAAATGCACAGGTCCTGAGCTAAAATGTTGTGTGGTAGTGGATGAAAGTAATTTGCAACTTACACTCTGAGTGCTAAAAGATCACACAAAAGTTGTGTTTGAAAAGTTATTAACTTCTGGAGTAAACTTGGTTTGTCTTTTAGCAAAGTTTCTCACGATAAAAGGACAAATGAGTTGACATCTATTTCTAAACAAGCATTAAAACTGAACCTCGTCATGCTGGACGGATAATGTGCGTATTTGTCATCATGTGAAGATTTGTCTTGACTAAACAGACATACCGCAAACACTTTTTGCATCAGATATGTTTCTTCAGCGGCTGTGGTTAAAGAGCTCATTGGTCTCCTTGCTGCTTTGGGCTCTCTGTCAAGTTTCAAGTGGTTTCAACGGCTGGAGCTGCTCTATTTATTGTACTGATACCCACAAGTTTTTACCACTTAAATGTTTTTGTTTTATGAAATTAAGGAACATTTTAGTTTCAGCCCTGTGAAGTGATGTGAATGTAGCTTAGAAGAAACTTGCAGTATGTTTTGCATTCCTCATAATAGAGAAATGGTTTGGTTACAGGGGAAGTTTTTGATTGACTATAAAACGATAAATTACTAAAGACGTCAAAATTGGAGGTTTCACTACTGTTACCCCTCTCATTAGGGTTTGATTATTATTTAATGTGCATGTGAGTTCAACAACTCATAAAATGATGCAGTTTTAATCCTTTTCTCTACACCCTTCAGCTTTGAATTCTCTGAAACCTTTGAATCAGTCTGTTAGAGTTGTCATATCCAGGAGGGCAGAGCATTTTTATATTTTAGTGTTTATCAATGTTCAGACAGTGTGGATTTATTTTTTGTCTTTTAACTTTCTCTATGTGTCTGAGGATGGAAGAAGTAGGAATAGAGGATATGGCAAGTGAAGTTACACAGAACATATTGCACATTTCATGCACAACACTTGAAATTTAATATATGATTTAGGTTTTAAGTGGCCTACATTGCACCTCTGGGGAGTTTTAGGTTCTGCACTGGTTCTGAGCCGTTTCTTCCTAACCTCAATCCCCACAACACCACAATACAAGTCATATTTTTGGATCTGTTCAATAACCCTGCAAACAAACTAACCAAACAATCTAAACGATGGAGCTAGTTCCCACTCAGGACCACCCACAAATATTTTAATAACATTAATTATTATGATGAAACTGCTTTACTTGGTCTCAGTTCTCCAAAACCAGCCCAGTTCTGTTATATGGCCTTTAAACCCAGCTGCTGCTGCAGTGTCAATTACAGCTACATTACCGGTAGAGTCAAATCATTCATCTTATCTTCAGCAGACACCCAACCCCACACTGTTACTGCAAAGATTTCAAGTAATACAATCGCATAACGCAGCTGGTGAAACGAATGCAGAGGAAAACTGTAAAAGCATACCCAGTAATGAGCTGTGATTTCTGTCTTGCAGGGATTCCTCAAAGGCAGTGAATGGGAAAATGGTCACTTTAGAACCCGTCTGGTGGACGACGGTCCCGCTCCAGGCGTACGCTCCCACTGCTCCGAGCATTAACACGTCCTTGAACGATGCACAGACAAGCTGAGTCAGCAAAAGGCAGTTCTGACACAAGCACAATAAGGTTTTGTGACTAGTTTTATTCTAGTTAAAAAATGTCATGTCCTTTATTCACTAATATAAAAAGCACACAGATATAAGTGATTGCATCAGGTTTTTGTGTTGCTGCTGCAGTACCTGCTGTTTGGAATAATGAGCGCTGAATCCAACCTGAGACATCTCCATCTGGAAGCTTTCTCCTTCTTTCCCAGTACCTAGAGAAAAGAAAGCATTGAACTTCGGAAAAAATGGAATTGAAGAATCAGAATCAAATTTGGTATAATTTTTTTCTGAAACTGCATGAGTGCCACGAACATGTCCAGAGTCTGTTAAAGAACCTCTCAGAGCAGGTACAACCAGGCAGAAATCAAAAATAATATTCACCTTCTATGTTGAAGATGCGGTTCCCCAAAGTTCCTGCTATAGTTGAAAGAGCTGCCTCCTCCGACACATTGAAGAAGAACTTCTCCGTTGGAAAACTAGCAATGGATTTGATTTCTGCTATAAGGTTGTCTGTGTCTATGTTGTTTCTGATATAATAGCCCAAGACCTGCAATACAGCATACATTTCCAAGCATCAAAACTTTTCATAGTTTGAAACAATATTTAAAAAACGTTTACTTCTTGGTTTCTCTATCAACTTTTTAGTCTCAGATTATGAACAACAAATAAATAAAAATACAGAAATCGTCTAATTCTCTAACATTAAAGGCACAAATAAGGGTTAGTAAATGGTAAAGGATGTACCGCAATGCCAAATCGGGTGATGCCTTGTTTCTCACACTGGGAGATCACCGTGTCTCTAAAATCCTGATCGTGGGACTCGCCATCAGTGACAACCACCATTACTTTGGCGGCACCAGGTCGACCACCATTGATCGCTTGGAAGCCAGTTTGACTGAAGAGAGCAGACACAGAAGAAGCCGTTTTTTATAAAGCTGAGGTCTCAACACAGTCAAACTATGAATTGCAGATATTAATACAAAATAAATACGTAAAACACGTACATGTTAATAAAATGTAAAAAAAATAAAAACACCAACCTGGCATATTCAATTGCATGAAACGTATTTGTTAAAGAGCCATACATCTGATTGATTCTGGACGCTGCAGCAATCATCGCTTCTTTGGTTGTAAATTGATTCAGTTTGAATTCAACTTTGGGAGAAACACCATACTGAATGACACTCATCTGGAATAATCATTAAAAATATAAGATGAGGCAAAGTTGTAACAATAAACCACAAAGCAAAGCTAGACCAAAGCTGTTTGGCTGTGACGGGATCACCTGGGTATTTTGGGGCCCGATGTCTAAGGAGGGTATTAACTTCAGTAGAAAGTCCGTCATTGGTTTCCAGGGATAAATGCTGTTTGAGCCATCCAACACAATCACAATGTCCATCGGCCCTCCGCATGCTAAAAAAAACCCCAGAAGAAACAAAAATTCATGCACAAATAATAAAACTGGTCAAATCATTGATCAATGAATCTATTCTCCATATTTGAGCAACATGTTTGTTTATTGTTTATTGAACTTACCACAGAAAATATTCTATTTCACATTTAACCATCTGCTGCTTGTAGGACACACAAAAACAAACTTTATGGCGCTTTAACTTTATCTGTAAAATGTGATATTAGCTGTGCTGTTTATTTTGAAGTGCAACTCTTTTCATAGTCCTTCCTTCCTTCCTTAGATAAATAACATTACTAATTGATTTTTTTATGTATGTGAATGTTTTTTTACAGTGCCCCGAGACTACTTCTGTTGTGACTTGGAGCTATATGAATAAAATTAATTGAATTTAAATGGCCACCACAAACTTCCTGTGACAAACAAATAAAATTGTGGAACAGTCAGACACATTTATCAACATGAGTCTGGTCAAAGCAGGTTTATTTTCTGAGAACTCTATATTCACTTCAAGTTACTGTGCAAAAGTTTTAATCCACTGGTAATTTTTATACTTTGCTTTCAAGAAGCCAAACTTTCTTGTAATAAAGTGACCTTGATCTTGCTGCAAACATTGAAGGACTTCAGCTTCCTGAAGAAGTACAGTCTGCTCTGTCCCTTCTTGTAGATGCTTCACTGTTGCATCTCCAGCCCAGTCTGTTGTTCAGGTGAACCCCAAGGTATTTATATTATTATTATATATTATATGATCATTTCATTTATGCAAAGTTGTCAGCTAACAAATCTTTGAGAATTGCATTTTTTGTTACTAACATTTTATTTCCTGTCTGTTAAACTGCAGTGTTTTTTGTATTTTTTATAGATTCAACTAAAAGATTAGAACAAAATGCATTTGCGACAGACTGCTGGAAACAAAGTGCTTAAAGAGCCAATTTAAAAGACAAACTTTGCTTAACTGTTTCTTCTTCCTGAGTTTAGGAGTCTTTTATGCCTAAATAATTCACAAATCTGTAAGTAGCTCTTTGTTAACTTCACTTAGTTCATAGCTAGTTCAACTGAGCTCTTAATTTTGTCAATATAATGCTAAATAATTTTGAAGTATCTGCCCTTTGCACAAAAATCATTTTAATGCATCAGGTTGGCTTGCTGGTAAACAGGAGCTGAAAGTTGTGACTATTTATTCATAATAATCCTAAACATTACAGGTAACACAAACACTGTCACGCTGGTTGTTTTTATTGTTGTTGTTGTTGTTTTTACTGGAATTGATGATAAAGTTACCTTTATAAACTAAATAAACTAAAACAACTAAGGTGTGGATTCGTACTACAACTAAAACCTGCCTTAAATTAGTCAAAAATGATAAAACACAACTTAAAGCGATCAATAATCTGAATAATGTTGCTCACTCTGAACAGCAGGAGAAAAGGCAGGCTGAAGTTGAAAAAGGGGGTTCAGTTTTGCACATAATCCTGGGTAAAAGTTTTGATCTCCACACTGCTGCCCCCAAAGTGGACCGCACATCTGGATCAGAACAAAAAAAAATGAGAAAGAGATACGAGAATTAATTTGTTTGTCTGGGATTAATAGTTTTAAATCTAAAATAATTCATATTGAAGTGTTTTTATTCCTAAAGGAAAAGAACCACATCATCTGATCTATGTAGAAATATAGGTGTTTATTTAGTACTTAAAATCAAAGGTTAAACATTACTTTCCTCCCTGCTGTGCCATTACGTTTAAATAAACCACAAACACACTTCCTTCCTCCCAAAATTGTCATATTTATGTAAATTTTAAAGGGAATTGTGAGTCATTTTGTGTTTGATGACGAAACAGGATGTGTTCATCTTATGATGCGATTATCCTGTCAGCAGCTGGAGGATATAGATATTAAACTACAGAATAATGGATGCTCCTTAAAATAATTACTAAAATACACCGGTGAGAAGAAGCTAGTCTTTAAAATAGTTTGATTTCATAAACACACACACACATAACTCAATGAGAATAACCTGTATTAAAAAAGGTTAAATGAATAACATACCATAAAGTCACCGACAGCTGGCATCCAGGTAAGAGTCAAACCCAGGGACATGTTAATGTTGACGTTTTTAACATCTGGAATACTAACGGAATCTGTAAATAAAATCATGCAGTTTAGATTATAGTTGTTAAAATGTGTTATTTGAACACTTAAAATACTACCACGAGTTTAATGATTGAGTAAATTACATGCACTTATAGAAAAAAAAAAAAAAGAGTGATTTCTTGCGATACATATCTTTTTAAAAGAACAGCTGATGAGACCTTTCTGGAGGTTTAACAAACAGTTTTACTGTAATTAGTCATTTTAAGGACAAGGCTGGTGTTTGGTTGGGAGGTCAAGGGTTAAACAATAAAACAGGAAGTTTTACTTTGAAGGTTGAGCTTGTCACAGCTGTTTCTAGATCCTGAGACTGGACACTTGTAAACATCCCCCTTCCTGTTTGCAGTGAAACCGCTCCATGGAGCACCAACCAGGAGCCTGCAGAGAACCACAAACCTTCACCTGTGAAAACGCTCTGATAAAAACATATACCTTTAGACATAAAGCAAAAAATATTTCATAAATAAAATATGACGCAAGCAATATATGAAATTCCATTTGTGCCTTTAAAAGCATCATGAGCATGTGCCAACAAATCACTCATATCCGTTCTTTTAATGTTCATAGAGAAAAATCCCAAGCGATACTTTACCACCACATCACTTTATGAATCACATCCTGTACATTAAACGTGTTTCTATTCAAGCAGTTCACATAAAGTAAATAAAGCACAGAAACAAAACTACTGTAATGGTTTTTCTCTGTTAGTTTGAGGACAGGACATACTGCGCTGCTTCTCTTGGAAATATTCAGTCAGAGACGACTATCAGACTCTGCTTTTTCCTCGGTTGTGCAATCAGGACACTCCTGCAGACAGTGAATTACTCCGACACTGACTGTAGCGTGAGCGTACACAATCCAGACGTGGCTGCGAAGGTTTGTTACTGCTTAACTTAGAGTTACAAATGAGGGGAACTAACTGCACGAAGCTTTCGGCAGGAATGTTTGTGTAGCTGCTGCAGAAAAAGAATATGGATATTTTTATCATCAATATAATTATTTTGTTGAGAGTTACTAGTGTTTGGCAGAAAATTGCCCAGAATAGTGTTATAAAATGAAGTAAGTTTCATTAATAAGTTGTAAGATAGTTTCATTTTTGTCAAATGCGACCATATGAGAGAAATAATAAATTTTACCCATTTGCAGTATAATTAGCCGTTTATTTTGATATTACTTTCATTGTCTTTTATTGCACTATTTACAGTGGTGTACTTTGTACTCTGTCTGTGTCCATGTGTCTTGAAGGATGGGCACTTGTCAAATCTAGCCGGTTGCATTATAATGTTTTGTCCCTGAAAATGCAGCGTTACAGTATAAGCATCACACCAGCATGTAATTGTGTTAAAACAAGAAAAGGAAAGGAGAAAATTTTCAGGCAGATTATTATAGGAATAAACTGAAACTTCAAAGTTATTCTAGACCTGAATATTTTTATCCTCTACCAATAAATTGGAGAAACTGTCCAGATGACCCGACTGAGCATTATTGGATGTTTGGCGGACTGTACCAACACAGAAAGCGACAGCGGGTGGTGAAGGAAGAGTTCAGACAGTGTTGTGTTTACACAGACATTTACACTGATAAGCTCCTGCTAATGCCAAAGGTTTACACACTTGCTCAAAAACCACCAGTGTGGTCACACTTTACATGTACTGGCAAAGGCAGTCCAAGATATAATTTTAAAAAATTGAATAAGACTGATTATAATTCAAATTAAAACTACCACCCACTTTGCCTCAGCTCATAAACAAAAGGTGTTGAGCAGAGTGATATTTAGTGCTCTTCTCACAGACAAACTAATGTTGGAGTCATATTACTATGACATATTATTATAACAGAGTAAAAGACATGCCTGCCGGCCAAGATGACACTTCCTTTGCTGGAACAGGGTTGCGGAGACTTGTTAAGAGGCTGCTGAATGTTTTATAGATAACTAAAGGCATCTCTGTGCAGGCAGCAACAAGATTTCATTAAAGCTATGCAGAACGAAAACATTTTTTTTCTGTCTTTCAGCCGCACTTATCAAAGAAAACTTATTCCAGCATTAACTTGTACTGTCTTGAGTTGTTCGCTTAGTTCGACCTTTTTGAAAATCGCCAAACTGATGTTTCCTAAAGAGCACAAACGTTTAAAAGTCAAAACCCCGCGTGAACCAGGACTGATTTCTGTGACGAGCCTGACCCCTGCACAGGCTGATCTATGCATATTTTAAACTCTTTTTAAAAATTTGTTTACACGTTCATTGTAGTTTTTAAGAACACAAAGTGGTCTGAATGAGCTAACCTTAGCTATAGATCCATAATAAATATCTTGGGCTGACATTCCTACCATTTGTCCGGACCGTTTGCCGCTTGTTGCACCGTGTAGCCAAACTCCTCTGCTGCCGGACCGCTGAAAATCTTTGCTCCTGCAGTGCCGACATTGAAGGACAAAGATGGGCAGATTGTGTCAGCTAGTGGAGGAGAAAAAGACATTATGTGAAATCTGTGAAACAAATAGTTTGAGAGTGAACATCAGAATCAAAATCAGCTTTATCGTCATTGCACCGAAGCATAACAAAATTACATTTCAGTACAGCCCATCCAAGTAAAACATAAACAAACAGACATGGGGAGACGGAGGTGTCTGAGGCCGCGGCCTCGTGGGAGGCGTTGCCCTTTTCATTTAGATAAGAAAAGAGAAACATGAGGGAAGTGGAGGTGTAAAAAAATCCTATCTCACACCGTGTCCTAGATGGGACACAGTGTGAAAGTTGCAAACAAAAGCCTCAGCACAGAAACATATATTACACATTATTATTATTATACATATTGATGACGTTATACATATAATTCAGAAGATGTGTAAAGAGAGGCTCCGATAAGGATCACAGGACAAAGAGCAGAAGCAGGAGCGGAAGTGTCCGCCTTCGTCGAGAGCAAGCAGGAAAAGGACATGAGTTGTAGGCTACTGTGTGTCAGAACAGTATTAGAATACAAAAAGTGAATTATTGTCATTTCCACAGTTGAGAGGCGAAGGTGCTTATTTATGAGTTTGTCTGCGTGTGTCTCTCAGCTGCCAAAATATTTCCTGACAGACTGAACAAATTGTAATGAAACTTTCAGAAGGTCATCATTGTAGGTACTATAGCTGAGTAACCTTTGGAGTCAATCTGATTCAAGATGGCTGCCCCAGCTAATCAACACTATCCAACATTAAAATGGCTATAACAGTACATTTTACAGATACTGAGCTAAAATATTAGTTGAAAGTCCTTCACAAAATATACTCTGAATTTTAGTTTCAAAGTTTGACTAAAACAGCCACGATTTTGGCATTTCTCAATTTAAGATGGTTTTAGTCAAAAACTCTGCATGAAAGGCGGCGGGCGATATACATTTCTTAAAAAAATGCTAGGACCTTATTTTATGATGAGTTAAACACAGAGTCAGCATTCACACAATTCTTTCTTGTTTAAAGTTTCCTACAATTTTAGACTGTTTCAGCATGCTTTTAGTTCTTTCAGCTATTCAGGTGTCAAAACATTTAGCTTTTCAAGACATTACGTCTTTGACTTTTGGTATTTGTAACTTCTAGACTGTTTTAATAGGCCTATTTTATAATGAAATAAAATTCTAAGAAATGCAATAAAATCTCTTCAAATCCTTTCTTCCAGCTATTGTTTTGAGTTTTAGCTTTTAGCCTTTGTTTTGCTTATTTAAGCTATTAACTGTTTTGCTTGTTTTAGCTATCAGCTACTATTTTGCTTATTTTTGCTTGTAGTTACTTTTCTAATGGTTTTAGCTTTTAACTAACACACTGATAACTTTTGCTACCAGCTAATGTTTTGCTAGTTTTAGCTTTTAGCCTTTGTTTCGTTTCATTAAGTTATTAACTAACCATTGTTTGATTGCTTTAGCTACTAGCTACTGTTTTGATAGGTTTAGCTTTTAGCTGTTTTTAGTTCATTTTGATAGTTTTAGCTTGTAGTTACCCTTTTGCTGTTTTTTTGCTTTTAACTAGCACCTTAGCTTCCTACTGTTTTGATAGTTTAAGCTTTTAGCTAGTTTAGCTGATTTTAGCTTTCATCTATTGTTTTTGACAGTTTTAGCTTTTGGCTTTTTTTTAAATACTTTTGGAATTTAGCAACTTTTTTGTTCATTTTTAGCTTGTTTTAACTTATCTGCTAGTTTTAGCTTTTAGTTACCAAACTGAAAATTATAGTTTCAGCTCTATTGTTTTAGCTTTTAGCTAGTTATGCCATTCTTAGTTTTCAGTTATTGTTTTGACTGTTTTAGCTTTTAGTTACTGTTCTGCTGGTTTGAGCGTTTGTGTACTTGAATTTCTTTATTTAGCTAGTTTTGGATTTTAGCAACTGTTTTGCTGGTTTTAGCTTTTATTTACAGCTTTGCTAGTTATAGCTTTAAGCTACTTTTTTTGCTCATTTGAGCTTGTAGTAACATGTCTGCTGGTTTTAGCTTTAAGCTATCAAACCGAAAATTATAGCTTTCAGCTATTGTTTTCTTTGTTTTAGCTTTTAGTTTCTATGCTACTGATTTTACTGTTTTGTTGGTTTGAGGTTTTGGCTCCTTTTTTTTCCTTCTGATTATTTTAGCTTCTGCAGTTGAGTTTCAGCTTCTGTGATACATTTGAGCTGTCATTCAGCACTTGGCGCTCACTGCATTTTCACAAAAACAGCCAAATGTTCTAGGTGTAGGCTATTTGTACGCTCAGACTTGCAGCAAAAACTGTCTGAAGAGCTTTTTTTGTTCCAGCACTTCCTCTAGAGTCAGGTGTGGATGAACTCATCTTCAACACAAAAATATCCATGAGCAGAGCAGACCTTCCCAGCACCGAGGTTCTGCTTGTTGCTTTATAACAAGAAGGTTGTTTCTCAACAGATCCACCTTCAGACGACCTGAACTCCCTCAGGTTGAAACTGTTCGAGCCTTGTCTTGGTGTCAGAGCCACAAGTCCACACAGGCAGGAGGGCTCAGCTATCAACCTGCAGCAGGAGGAATGTGGATGAATGTTGGACCCAGGAGTCCTCTGCAGTCTCGTGCCACGCCTGTTTACCTGCAGCGCCAAGCAGGCGCCTCTTTCCATATGTTAAAGTCAAGTTCATAATAATCCAGCAAGCTGAGTGTTAAACCGTTTCACTGCAGTCACGGAGGAATAATTAAGATGAATAAAATAAAGCAAAAAGAAACCCTCCTCGAATGTGGTCGCTGTCCATTTGAGTACGCAAACCGCAAGAAAACTATCCACGAAACAACCAACACTAAAGAAAACAACGTTTCTGTGTTCGGATAACGTTTAGCGGAAAAGAAACATCTGTGTAAATGAGTTTCTACTTACAAAAGACTATTAAAGTCAAGAAAACTTGCCCCCAAACGCGCTCCATCTTCGTCCTCAGTTCACGCGTTTGTAGTGACCGACAGAAGCCTCCTCGCGCTTGTCAGTCTGCCTCGAACCGGATGCGATGCCCTTATAAGGAGTTTTTCTCCTCCTTCTTACCTGAGGATACGAATTTGTACCATCCCAGGGTGAAGTCCGAAAAAAAATGTAAGATTTCAAAACAACTCAGACTTTGTTGTAAACTTCTTTATTGCCCGCCCACATAAAAATACGGCGGACGATAATGTTTTTGCCAGTGGCAATTCTGTGGTTATGTTAGGAAAATATTAAATGCAACTTGCAGGAAGCAATTATTGAATGTAGATCTAGAACTGGCAACCTTCTGGAGTCATCATGTTTCAAGATGGCTGCCACAGCCAACTGGCCTTTAAAAACAACAAAATAGAAAGCAACAGCTCAGTTAAATGTACAGATATTAACCTAAAATGTGTGGTAGTCGCTGAGGCTAATCCCCAACACATATGAGCACAAATAAATTGTGCTAAATCTTTGTTTAAAATTATGCCACTATGTGTTTGAAGTCAACTTTGGCTTTTAGCAAAATATCTAATCCACCACTGAACAGATTTTAATGAAACTTTCAGAGAGTAACCCTTGGGTGTACATCTACTACTGATTGATGTTTGGAGTCAATCCAGTTGAACATGCCACCACAGCTAATCAATATTAATCAACTCAAAAATGGCAATAACTCAGTTTTACAGATATTGAGCTAAAATTTGAAGTTTTAGGTAAGTGTCATTCACAATACATACTCTGACTATGACATCTTGTGATATTGTATGTTAGTTTCAAGCTTGGAAAAAAAAGACATTAAAGTTTAAAACTTGGTATGAGGGGTGGCAGGCAATACACATTCCTTTAATGAATGCTACGCCTTTTAATTTAATCCATATTTTACATGAGTGGACAAATAAAATGACAGGGGTGAAAAAATAAAGTAGTCTGGGGGTTTTGTGGCAACAGCTCTATTAGAGTATTAGTTTGGTCTAAGAACATATAAAACAACAATAGCTCAAAGAATAGAATCCCAGTTATTTGATGTGATGTAAGAAAAAAAAATTCCCACAAATAATTTTCCTTTAGTGGAAATGATGCAAGATCTTTAAATTAAAGAAAGTCGGGGCAGTCAAAAAGCTGAAAGAAGTTTAACTTTCAATTAGTTGTGCCATTCCACAAGAATCATTTGGAAAGAGTTACAGCTCATTGCTCCACAGAGACAATACAGCCTGTTATGTCATACTGGTGTGAGGAAATAATTTATGGAGGCTCCTCTTAGCAACTAAACTCCAGATGCCTCACTTATTAATCAACGCTTGAAGATTCAACACAGACTGAAAGGAGCTTGAACGTGTCCTGAATAAATTCAAAGGAAGTCGGAGAAAATAGCCTTCATGACATCATCCAGGCTTCCTGTTTTAAATAGAAAGGCTTCATTGTAAAACTGTAGTTGTGGAATTTAAAAAATGTGGACATTTATCAGATAAGAAGGAAAAGATTGTGGGAAAGGTGGGAGAAATATTGGCCAAAATCACCACAAGGATACCCATTTTGATGTTTGGCTTCTTTTGTTATTATTACCATACCATATCATTTTATTTATAGAGCACTTAAAACAGCGACAAGGCCAACCAAAGTGCTGTGCAGACAGAACAACAGACAACACACAAAGCAAAATACAAAATGAAGTAAATCAGAAATCTAGACATAAAAACGATGCAGATAATAAATATGACGACAAACCAGAGTGGAGCGTACATGTTCAAAACACAGATCCTCTTGTGTTGAAAGCTACTGAATAGTAGTGAGTTTTTAAACGGGATTTGAAAACCGAGAGGGAGGGGGCCAGTCTGACAAGCAGGGGTAACTCGTTCCAAAGTCTTGGTCCTGCTGCAGAGAAGGCCCTGTCACCTCTGCGCTTAAGACGAGTTCCTGGAACTGTGAGGAGCAATTGGTCCGCTGACCTCAGGGAGCGTGGAGGGACATGCGGTTGAAGCTAATCAGAGAGATAGGGGGGCGAAACTGTTCAGCGGTTTGTAGACATACAGGAGTATTTTGAACTGGATTTGAATGTGAACCGGGAGCCAGTGCAGTGAGGCCAATACTGGAGTAATGTGCTCTCTTTTGCCTGTACTGGTTAAAAATCGGGCTGCTGCATTCTGGACCATTATTAGTTGATCCTTGATTCTTTAAGACAATTAATTACCGTAAATGACTTTTTGAGTGCTTTAACCAACTTGGGAATTGTAAATAAACTGAGTAATTTAAGCCCAGTATGTTTCTTATATACTGAAGCTAATCACAAATGAAAACCTTAGCAGTTCAAAATGTAAGACTAAATGACCCCCCATCCACCCACCCCCACCCCCTAGGTAGCAGCTCTCTGCTCCACACAGAGGGCTGTGGTAGCTCAGTGGTCTGTGGTTGTGTCACGAAGGGCATCCGGCATAAAAACAATCGGCAAGTCTTCATGTGAGTTAGTTCGCTGTTCCTGAGGAAGGGAGCAGTCGAAAGAAATTTTGTTTTAAATATTGATTGATTTAAAATTAGTTAATACGCAACAAAAATAATTTCAGAGCACCATTCAGGGAACGCAAACTCTTCCAATCTAATAAATACTCCCGTTCAGTGGTTCGACCATTTTTCTTACTACTTCCCCCTTTAGTGAGAAAAAAGTCCCAATTTGTGCACAGAAACCCAACAAATATAAATGTATAAGAGCTCAGACTCATTAAAGTATTAAAAGCTGCAGTGAGCCTATTGTAGATGGATGGATACTTTATTTATTGTCTCCGACTAAAACTTTTTAGAACCTAAACACTAGTGGACTGTTGGAGCTCCACAGTTTGAGGACCAGTACTCTTCCCATTTATTCCCAGTTCAAATGAATCCAGAGATAATCTGGTTGAAAAGTATTTTTTACAATCTGTGTGACTTTAAATTCCTGATATAAAGACATGGGTTGCATCAAAGTCTTATAGTTCATTCTCCAGTGCTGAGCTCGCAGAGAGGCGGACACCAATGAAGAGAACAAAATACCTCTATGAAAGTTAGAAACTTGCAAACACAAATCTGTACAGCGTGCATCTCTTGACAGATTTAAGTATGATGAAGGGCTGCATCAGGCCTGCTTTAATCCATCAGCCTAAAAAGCTGAAAGTTTTAGACCTTGTAGTCGGCCATCTGAACCAGGAGCTGGTTCGATAACCTATTCTACTTTTAGAAAAATTATTTCCCTAAACCCCCAAAAAAGACAAAAAGAACAGGAAAAAATAAGACTGAAATGTTCTATTGGGATCATATTAAAAGACGTTTTCCTTTTGTGATGGAGCTTGGTCATTACCAGATTTATTTATGAAGAGAAGCATTTTAAATTCTGGTCTGGATCTGGATTGTTCGTGTGAATAAAGAAAAAAATACAAAAATTGTATGCTCGTTGTTGTCTTTTAAATCCTGATTTTAAAAACAGTTAACCCTACAATCCATGTACAGATCTTTATGCATCACTCTGAAACAAGCGGTTTCTAGTTTGCAGAATGTTGTGCCGGTGAAGAAAGGAGGAGGCACAAAAAACTTGCTTAAAATGCAAAATAGGAGACACATTCTGGTCAAAAATGACTTTAGTATTTCTCATTAAACAGAAGCCAGAGTCATGCCATCTATTGTACTGTGTTCTCAACAAGGCATTCAAGTCTGAAGACAAGTTTATAGTGTCTGAATTTGAGAATAACAGGATAAATAATGTGAAAAGCGTTGGCCTAACCCTTTTTTAATTCAGCTCAGCTGGCTCGTCCTCCTCCTCTGTATATTCTGACTCATGTATAAGTCACTGGATGAGCCGAAGAAGATTCAGTCTTTAAAGGAAGTTCAGGTTTTTATGGAAGTGAGGCAAAGTTCCTGGAAAATACTTAGGGCTTCTGGTTGTGATAAGACAAGATCCAACAGCTTAATCCCTTTTTCTGCAGCAGGAAACCACATTCCTTCAGTGAAATGTTCTCGTTGAAACAGCAACAGCTAAATGTTTAGACTGTGTTTGTTACCACGGCACAATCTAAAGAAGAGTATTTACAATAACTGAGGCTGTATAACCGTAGTGTGTCAGTGTGGGCACGTAGTTAACAAATCCCCTCTGAAGAGTCAGCACGAATCATTCCCAGTTCACCAGGATGTTTGAAAACCCTTTCAAATTACAAGCCAACGCGTCTTCTGACATCTGGCCTGATGGATCATTTTATTTCTGCTTCTACTAACAGACTTCCAGGTTTTGTGGCATTTAAAACCAGCAGAGGTGAACTGGTTTTAAATGGTTCGAATGGTTTTAATAAACGCTGCAAATGGAGGAATTTACAGCCAGAAAAATGATAAAAATGAAAAGCTTCGCAGCAACTCAAATGTGGCAGCATGACTGAAAGGGGGATGTGACGTTTGTGGTGTTGGGCATCATAATTTTTTCGTTGGTTTCCAGATGAAACACAGCACCACAACAATTTGTAGCCCTGAAAACCATCACACTGGAATCAGCTGATGCAAATTAGCACAACAGAAACATGAAGGAACTCCCAGGGGAACGTATTTTCATTTTACAAATAACTGCAGCGCTGTCTTCTTGTTAAAGAATTAAAGCCAAAAGCATAAAAAAAAAAAAAAAGTGTTTTTAGATAAAATAAAAATAAAAACACAATACATTTGTGTATTTTTTTGTTTTGGCTTTCTGACAATTCACCAAATTGTTACAGATTACAGTTTTTGTTGCCACAGTTGTTAAAAGGCGTGGAGAAATGGCTTTACAGTTCATTTATAGAGACAGGATTTCACCTCCAGCACACAGAAGTCCGGATGAGCGGACCACTGCTTTAATCCCTCTTTTACACCCGTCTGCTGACCAGTGAGAATCTGCAGCTCAGGTCCGACACGTCGCATTATGAGCTGCAGAGTCCCATCCAACAGGCTCACTGAGCTCATCCAGACAGGATGGAAACAAGAGCAGTTCCCTGGCACGTGACTAGTTCCCAATTTTGCACAGCTGATTTTCAGACAATGCAAATGTGGATCGTGATGACGTGTCAGTTTGCTTCCACCATGAGTTGGCACCCGGCGGTTTGCAGATTAATGTCATCGATGTGCCTTTTCAGCAGGCTTAAACAGGACACACGTCGTCAAAATGCACTCTGATGCATTTTGTTTCTGCTGTCCTTAAAGAAAAAAAAAAGGCACGTATGTAAAAACTGACAGCAGAAAGCAATGTGCAGCCAGTCCACAGCTGCATATTGGCAGTAAAGTGGTTTCCTCACAAAACTGTAACAACCGACAGATGTGAAAATGAACTCGTTGCTTCAAATCTTTACAGTAAACTGTTATGTTAAAGGCAGATGGCTGTTTTGCACGACTTTTACTGAGTCTCCATTGTCTTTGTGCAATTCCAATAGAAGAAACGCACAAATGCACTAAAGTGTTATGTCATATATTTTACAATAACATAATTATACAAATTATTTAACTTAAAATTAAAAGCCACCAAAGTTTTATGCTGTCGTGTTGAGAAATGACAAAGTTATAGTCATTTTGGACAAATTTCTAAAACAATGTTATCTCATACAACAATGTGAGATGTCCTGCTCTGAGTATGTGTTGTGAATGACTCTCGGCTACTACCACACCAAACTTTAGCTCAAAACCAGTAAAATGAATGACTTATAGTCATTCTTGTACTGGCTATAGGTTGATTTGCTGTGGCAGCCATCTTGCATTGAGTTGACTTCAGAGCTCAGTGACTACTTTATAAAAGTTTTCACTGAAATCAGTCCAGTGGTTCAAGAGATATTTTGTTAACAAACAGGGTTTATGACAACAGTTGATGCCAAAGGTTTAAACTAAATATTGCACAATGTGCAGAGCTCATGTTGTAGGTAATGCTCAGCTAGTCAAGTCAGTTTTATTTATAAAGCACATTTAAAACAGCAGCTGTTACCAAAGTGTTTTGGTAGAGTTTAAGTTTAATAGAGCAATAAATAACTACTTTTGTGTTGACTAAGGTCAATTAGCTGTGACAATCATCTTGAATTGGGTTCACTTCTAAAGTGAATCAGCTGTATTAGTTAATCAGCCCTCAGGGCTGTGTGTTGAGCCCCCTCCTGTTCACCCTGCTCACGTATGACTGCGCACTTACCCATCCAGGCTGTCACATTGTAAAGTTTGCAGATGATACAGCGGTGGTTGGATGCATCACAAACAACGATGAGTCCAGCTACAGGCAGGAGGTGGAACACCTGGAGAGCTGGTGCAGGAAGAACAACCTTCACATCAATGTGAAGACGAAGGAGATGATTGTGGACTTCACAGAAGGAGTAAACACACCTACCCCCCAGGAGGCTCTGCGGTGGAAGTGGTCTCCAGCTACAAGTACTTGGGTGTGCACCTGAATGACAACCTCAGCTGGAGCAACACCACCACCAGCCTGATCAAGAAAGCTCATCAGAGACTCTACTTCCTCAAACGGCTGAGACGAGCTAGTCTGGGAAGCTCAGTCCTCACCTCCTCCTACAGGTGTGCAGTGGAGAGCATCCTCTGCTCCAGCATCAACGTGTGGCATGGAGGCTACACAGCTGCAGAAAGAAAAGCTTTACAGAGAATGGTGAAGGCTGCGCAGAAGTCTGTTGGAGTCAGCCTCCCCATCATCACAGACATTTACGCCTCCAGATGCAGGAAGAGGCTCCACCTGCATCATGAAGGACCACACTCACCCAGCACGCGCCCTTTTTGCCTCGATTGAGGAGCATTAAGTGTAGAACCATTAGACTGAGGAACAGCTTCTACCCTGAAGCTGTTAGACTCATGAATCCTTAACCAGGATAATCACTGTGAAATAAAAAAGAACTGTAAAGCCAAAGTTCATGCTCTGTAATCCAAGTATAAAATCCATCATTCAGTCAGGTCATCTGGACGGTTTCTTTTTCTTTCTGTTTTTTGTGCTGAGATGTTTTGCCCTCCATCCATATCTGACTGAACATTGTTGGATTTTATACCTGGATTATTGAGCATGGACTTTGGCATTTTGAACCAGTTTGACATGACTGTTGATTAAGGAGATGGTGGGCACTGGAGGAGAGGGCGTGTCCCAGAGGCCACCTTAGAACAAACATAACTGTTATTTTTTTTTTTTTACTTTGGAGCAGGCTGTAGGGTGAGAATCAGTTTTGTTTGGTGTTTCCTCAGACTGATGAAGCCTTCTGAATGGAGGGCGAAACGTCTCAGAACCAAAAAAGAAAAAGAAACCGTCCAGATGACCTGACAGAACATTGTTGGATCACTGTAATGCCACTTTAATTGGTGATATGCCTTTATCTGTGCTGCTGATTTCTTGATCATAAGCTGCTGTATTCACACCCATCTGCTCACAGCAGACTCATGTTCAGGCTGCTGTTTAATACACCTTATTATATTACATTATTATTGTTTAGCGTATATCTTAGATCCTTGTATACGGTTTCTTTTTTATAGTTTATATTTTTGCTATGTTTGGGTGTAACTGGGACCTTGAGTACACAATTTCGTTCCACCTCATTAACGACATGTGATGCGAATGACAATAAAGAACCTTAAATCTTGTAGATGCACATCTAATAATTACTTTCTCACTTTCTCTTTAGTTTACGAAGAAAACATCTGTGGTGTTGTTAATGGTTTGACGGTTCATCATCACTCAACAAGGTCAACCACTGAGTCTTCAATGCCGTTCTCCATGACAGCTTTTTTTAATCTTTTAAACAAAAGGAAATTACTGAACTCTTATCAGGGAAATGTGGAGCAGGCTTGATAAAGAGAGGGGTCTATTTTTATTTTCAGACTTTGACAAAACTCAAACATGAACACGATGCTGTTAGTGGAGCCCAAACTGCTGTTTTTAAAGTCTGCTTAAACCTGCTGATGTTAAGATGTTCAAACTAGTCATTCCCTTTTTTCTGTATTGTTTTCAATCATTAAAGAGTGAGTATTCATTGTTAAGTTCAAGTAAACATTATAAGCTTACAAAGTATTAAAAGCTTTGGGTTATGCATCATTTTCATTTCCACAAAAAACTCTAAAGATCAGAAAAAAACCTACAGGATTTTCCTGACAGTTTTTTTAAAAGGCAACTTTCTAATAAAGTTCCATTTATGAAGGATTTATTAATGCTTTATAAATAGGTTATTCATGAGGTTACTGACACTATGAAGATTTAACTATAACTTATAGAAGTCTTAAAACGTGGATAAGCATGCTCACTATTTGGCAAAAGCATGTGCTGTACACTGGTTTATTTAAAATTCAGATTTTAAATAAACGTATGTCAGCAAGTTACCCAAATTTAAGAACTATAAACATATGTATGAATATTCTGACAATTTAGTTTTAAAAAGTTGAGCAACTAACATTAAATTACATTTACCTGAATGAACGTGCAAAATAGTGACCCTGCTTTAAGTGTTTTCTACATTATTGTTGAGGCTTTATAAATGGTTATAACCCGTTAATAAAGCACTAATTAATGCTTTATCGTAAAGTGTTTTCATCCATCCATCATTTTTACCCACATCTAATGAGTTTAATTTCAACAAACTTTAACCAAACTTTAAAACCTCTTTATATTAGACATAGTCAAAAAGCATGTTTATATTTTCTTGTTTGTAAAAAACAACACTGTTTCTTACATTTTATATATATATATATATATATATATATATATATATATATTGAAAAAAGGCCAGTACTGTATATAGGTTTAAGAAGCTGATACAAAATTTGTTAAATATTTTATTATGTTCTCTTAACCTCAAGAGTCATTCCCTCTAATTTAATCAGTTTTATATTCACAATTGTTTGAAATGACTTGATAACTGGCCAACATGACCCTTTATTATTTTAAAATGTCAAAACTTTTTGTTAAAACGTAAAAAGTAGCTATATATGTAAACAACAAACAGCAAAGACATCAATCTATAAATCCAGTCATATATTTCTATGCTGTCAATGCTTAAGAATCTCTGTCACAATTTGTTTTTACTCCGATTTTGTTGTAATTTCAGCAGAACACAAAAACCGTGACCCAGCCTGCACGTGCATGAAGTTACCAGCAGGTGGCAGAGTTCGACCAGAAGTATTTTTATTGTGGAGCTCACTTCAGAAACTACTGACATACAGTAAATTCAACTTTTTCACGATATTCTAATTTTCTGAGCTGCACCTTTAGTTTTAAACTAAGGTCTCGTGGGTCATTTTGACCCAATAAGGGTTCAAATGTACTCAAACAATTTAATTTGTTCTAAATGAAATAAGGTCTTTTTAGTGTTCAATTTTCAGTCATTTAAAATACGACTTTGAAAGCGTGCATTGTAAAAAAAAAAAAAACAAGAGAAGTAAAAATCTTACATTTAAGACCTTCAAATTCCCACTGCTGAAGTCTTAACGTCGAAAAACTCATGCAAACAGTTTCACATTATAAAGAATTTATTGCAAGCAAACAATACTATAAACAGTATTTACAAACTATAAAACAATATTCCTTTGCAGGAGATTTGTTGTTTGCTGGTAAACAGTCATTCAGTCTTGCGCTGCAGCTGTGACGTGTGTGTAAATATATTTGCATTAAACAAGTTCAATACTGAGACTTTTGGAGCTTTTACAACAAATTATTAATGCTCTAAATTTCACGTCCAAATGGATTAAAAAACGTTTTCTCTTAAATAACTTCAGTTTGAGCGGTTTCTGTTCCAGAAAACATTTTTCACTGTACAACTTTTTCCACAGGTCCTGAACCGAATGAAGAAAACAGCCAAACAGACGTGAAAACCTTTAAATAGAATTCCTTAATGCTGGCAACATCACACTGAGCCACAGGGCTACACTGTATTCCCACCGTGTGTAGATATGAGGAAAAACAACTGCCTCTCACATTTATAGTGCATTTCTTACAAAAATAATCTGATTTCTGGCTTGTGTTATGTGGCAATTATTAGTCCTTGGTAAATAATGAGCAGATTTCTTCAAACAAAACCGTCTTTCATGCATTAACTCAAAGCATCCACAGCACTCCGTTTCCCCTCATGGCATTTTGTTTAAAACAAAGCAACTCACGAGGAAATTTTAAACAAAATTTAAAAAGAGTGTATTGTTTTGAACTGTTATTCCATCGATTGTCCCGTTAATAATGTTGACTGAATAAAGTTTCCAGAGTGAAATGATAAACAGCTGTTAAAAGGCCCGCTTGCAGTAAAAAATAAAGATTCAGCGTTTCCTTTGCAACATTCCAGTCAAAAGAGCAAGAAAAGCACAACACGCACTCTTTAACCCTCGGGTTTCCACACTCCTGTCATTGTTGTCGTTGCCTCTCCGACTCTAAACAAAAGTTCTCGTACGCTTCTTCTATCTCGGGGTCCATCTCGTCCTCAAACTCGTATCTGTGAAAACACAGCAGAGGATTTGAAAACATGTTTTTAAAAATCCTTCTGCACAGTCAATATTTGCACGTTCTTGCCATCTGAATGCACCTACAGTTGTAGAGGGAGGACAGAAGTGTGCTAACCCCCGCTGCCAAACTGCTGACTAAACTGAATCCTCCAGCCTGGTCATCGCTGTTGCATTGTGGGTCGTGTAAACGCGTTTGTCAATCTCAGGGGCCCACAGGTCAGAGGCTGTCAGGTAACTTGTCTAGTGTCAGGATGCATCTTTCAGTGGTGCTAAATTACCCAGATTTTCAAGATAATTTCAGAGATTAAATGATTTTCTTTTTCAAAGTGGCTCATCTTTTGCTTCTGGACTTTATTTTATTTGTAAGAGAAGACGTTTCGCTTCTCATCCGAGGAGCTTTCTCAATTCAAAGAACAGAGAGTGTGGGCTTCAAGTTATAAAGCTTGATGCATATGCAGATTGTCCTATCACTCCTCACAATAGGGGTTCGTTAGGGTCTTTGTTAGTCTGACTCACAGACGAGCCACTCTGGTCACATGGATGAAATTCCTGCCTGATAGGTGTGAAATTGACTGGATATCAGGCCTAAAGCTGCATTATAAGTTTTAAGTTTTGATTTTGTCTTGAACTTTTTTGAATTTACCACGTCCTGGATGACGGAGAATCTTCACCAGCGTTTATTCTGCATCACCGTAGGATTATTACAATCCACCATGAGCTCACAGTGCTTGCTACACAGATGCCATGTTGCATAAAAGCTCGCTATACAAACAAAACTAAACCCACAAGATTTATTTTACTTTAGACAGAAGGATGTGATTAGTCCTAATATATTTTAGTGACAGATCCTTGTGTAAATGCTGAGTCAGCACTCAAACAATCGGTTTCCTGATAGTTTCTCTTCCATATGGTTTTTGCAATCAAACTACTTCTGCATACTTTGTGCTAATTTAACAATTGATTTATCAAATCATTCAGCTTGGTCGAGAATAATATGCCGTGAGCAAATTTGTATTTGCTATTTTTTATAGTTTATTTATTTGACATAACTAAATAAATCTCTACCTCCTCCAAAAGCATCGATCTATAAATCTACTTCCGTAAACTTGCTCTGTTTTTGTTTTCTTATGCTCCTTTTAGCTACGGTCGTGTTAGTTTTTAAATATGCTCTGGCAAGCTATACGTTTTAGCGAGTTTGCTAATTGTAGCTTTTAGCTGTAAGCTGCTTTTTTTGTTGTTGTTGCTTATTTTACTTTATGTTTTGTTTGTTTTACCCAACAATTTATCTGTGAACAAATTTCAGCAAAGTCATTCAGCACACATTGTGGCTGCAGGTCCCGCTCGTCTCTGAAAACGTTATGTCTTGTTTGAATCTGAATTTATTCTACACATCCTTGGAGCTAAGATTTATGTGATGAAGCAGCTAAACCCAACTAATGCTATGCTCCTCGTCCATGTTGTCTCTCTAGCTGCCACCAAAGGGTCACAAAATATGATTGTTACCAATTTAAAGTCTAATGATGTTATGAACAGATACAACCGGTGCTTATATTTATGATTAACGGATACTAATAAATCAAATAGTAAAATAGTTTGCTTGAAAAAGAAGGTATTTAAGCTGTCATTCCAAGAAGTTTACATATACAATGTGTACTTACTCTTCGTTTCCATTTTCTCCATAATAATCAGGGAAATAGTCTTGTCTGTCCAGCATTTCCTGGTATTTTTCTGCATATTTTGTGAAAAAAAAAAAGGCACAACGATTGCAACGTGAACACGTCTCTATTTAAAATGCATCCTGAACCACAAATGGCACAAAATGATCTTTTCTATTACTACACTACAAATAAGAGTCAAGGAAACATCGGGAGCCCAATTCATTAGCGTTGGTAGCCATTAGAAAAAAACGATTCGCGTCTCCTCTTTCTCCTCCTACACAGTTCTTGTGACACAGCAAAGAGCAGATCGACACTCAGTGTAATGAATAACATTTTTACTGTAGGAGGAACAAAACCTCACTCATAAATGTTAATACAAACAATAACAAAGTCAAAAACATGTCAAGATTAAAACCTAAATCTGGCAGCAGAGATCTGCTGATAGATAAACTGGGAATAAGAGCTTCTCAGATGTTTGCCTCTAAAGCACAAATAAATGGTGACTGTTCCGCCTGTCCCTGATTTATTTCAACATGTAAACGCAGAAAACAGGACGGTACTCTGCAGCTTCTTCAGCTGTTTTCCCACAGACTCACCTGGGTCTGCTGCTGTAAACGGTGTACCATCTTCAGTGTAGAACGTAGGTTCATTCTAACGGGAGAAAACAAAGTTGTAGAAATACAAATGGACAGGAATGAGCTACATTAAAGACAAAAAAAAAAAAACCCGTCTGGTATGGACACTGACCATGAAGTAATTGGGGTCATTGTCTGGAGTTGCGTTACTGGACGCTGCAGCAGCAGAGACTCTGCCCCAGTCACTGGATCTCAGCTCCACTAATTTCAGCAGCATCTGTTTCACATCTCTGGAAACATTACATATGTATTTATATTAGTGCTGGGCAAAGGTTAAACATTTTAATCGCGATTAATCTCAAATATTTTTCTGATTAATCTCGATTAATCTCATTAGTACGTGCAAAATTAAATTACGACTTAAAGACGTTTAGAACATTTTTAAGGGTACCGTTTTATATAAAAAAAAAAGTTCAATACATTAAAAAGGCACGTTTTAACAGCAGTGTTCTCCTAACAATTAAAAGTATTTCTAATAACATAAACATATCAAATATGAAACCAAAGCTATTTTCCAGGGCAAAATGTTTTTAGTTTATTTTAGAGAGAAAATTAAAAAAAAAATCCTTCAAACCCAAAACCACAATCATAACAGATTAACAACAAATTCAAAATATACATTTTTTTTTATTTCTGAAATGTTACAAGAATAAATCTTTTGAAATCAGGAGCATCATGAACAGTTTATCTCCTGATGCTGCTCAATAATCCAGGTAGATAATCTAACCAGGTTAAATCGGGTCGTCTGAACAGATTCTTCTTTGTTGAAACGTTTTCTCTTTTATTCGAAAGACTTCTTCAGTCTGAGGAGGTGCTACAAACTCAGGCTCTATTTACACGGACACGGTGGGAGGAAACGTAGGTTTTTTCGTATGTTAATTAGAGGAAAAGATCTGCATTGACACGGATGAATTATGTGTTTACATGCAACCGGAGGAATCTCCCCTGCCCCTATAATCCGCTGTAGTTACCACGCCGGGTCATTAGGTGGCGCTGTGAATTTTGTACCTTCACCTAATGCGCATGCGTGCTGCCTCGGTCTGCTCCTTTCCTCTGGGCTAAAAGCTCAGCTAACAACAACTTAACAACAAGTTAAAGCTGGATTTTGGATGAGTCGACAGATTTGACACCAATCGGGACCGCTTCCTCTAACAGCTCCACACCGGTCGCTGAGTGGACCAGAACCGAGTCGACGATGATGATGATGTCGGACTTTACTCCGTGATAATCAGTAGCTGATTTACAGCAATCAACGTTCTTAATAATGTTAGCCTGTGCTTACTTGGATTACAAAACAACTGAGTTTTTATTTTTGCTGCGAGGAGAAGCTGTCCTCCCACCAGGCGGACCAGTTCCCAACGAGCCTTGATCCAGGTGTGGTGCAAGAGGATATCGAAGACAGAAGTCATGTGGGATGAACTATTCATTTAAAATTCCCCTCATTTCTTTTCCCCAATCCATTGAACAATTCACTCAAAATATGCGCCGTGTAAACGGCCCCTCAATCAAAGAGCACTCATCAACCAGTCTCTGCTAGCCAGAACCAGTATCCACATGTAAAAGGAGGCCCATCAGCCTAACAATTGATCGTAAGAACTCTTGTTTTCTACTCACCGGGGAACGAGTGACTCTATTGATATTTACATATTCTAGGAGAGGAACTGAGAGTGTATGGCACAGATTAATTTATCATAACTCTGGTTTAACTTGGCCAACACGATTTAAAAACTGGTGTGTAGCTTAAAGTCTGTACTTTTGACACAAATTAAAACGGAATCGCTGAGACGCTGCTTCATTCCTGATACGAGATGAACTCGGTCATGTGCCTGTTGCGCGCGAGGGGGAGGTTCGCTCCAAAGAGGGAAAAAAGTAAAGTCAGAGTAGAATAAAATTCTTCCAGCTATGGACGACAGAGCTACTTGTTTTTAATTGCACTCTCCAGGAAAACTGTGTTTTGTCCCGACGTGAGGAACAAACTAAACTCTCTGCTGCTTTGTGACTGAACTCTACCGCTCCAGCAGAACCGGACCTGCAGCTTTCGCCACAGGCTTGCTTTTGACCCGCCTTCCTGTTAGTAATTGGTCAAGACAACACGAGCTTCAATGTGATTGGATGTAATCCTTGTTGAGGCGGACCCTGTCCCACTCAAGCTGGAAAGCCCCCCCCCCCGCAGAGCGCTGTGTGTCTGTGTGTTCATAGACGCTGAGGAGAGGAATTTTGAAGGAAACCAAAACTTAACAATATTAACTTGAGTTAAAATAATTGTCGGCGTTATTCATTTGCTGCGTTAACGCGATAATAACGAGTTAACGCGAGCACCATTAATTTATATACATAGGAAAATGTCACGAACTGGTATTAGGCATATTTGTTCAAAGCGATAAACACACCTGCTGCAGGCAGCATCCAGGAGAACAGTTCTAATTCTTTGGATCAGTTCTTCCATGTGATACTTTCTGCGCTTTATCCACGCATCCTCCAGAATGGACCCCGTCAGCTGGAAATACAAATTATTCTCATTTCCTCTTTAAATGCACGTAGATTTCTGAGCACATTGAAGTGAATGTGGGCACCTTCAGCAGTTTGACCGTGCAGATCAGATTTGCATCCACGGGATTCGACAGCAGACTGTCCAACAGGTCTTTCAGAGCAACGAGGAGGATGTCTGCTCTGTTCGGAGGTCCCTTTACACTTTTTATCTAAACACATTTGACAAATATTAGTGTTTTTATTTGAATAAAAAATGATCACTTGTCTTTAAACGCCTTCTTACCTCCAAATTCAGATAGAGTTCTCCCAGGAACAGCACGAAGGAGTGAAATTTCTTCTGAGTGTCTGGATCGCCCCGAACCGCTGCTTCTCTTTTTTCATACTCGGTATGACACCTGCAACAGACAATAATCTCTACGTGTGAAATCATCACCCAACAACTACTTTTTACCCTTCCACACAACTTTCACATCTTGTTTGATTAAAATAACTTTTCTGCACCTAACTGCATTCGTGCAGTAAAAACATTTTCTATCTGCTGCAGTCTTCACCAAGCATTTGGATTTTTGAATAAGGCTTTGTTTAAATCGGATGATATACTGAATCACCAATTCAATTTGAAGAAAAATCTGATAAGTACCGTTGCAGTAGCAGTTGACGGAAGTTGCCACTTTGTGCGCTGAAGGCGAGGTGATGGGAAAGGTGGTTACAAAGCCTGGCTCCGGTGTAGGAGAAGTTAGGAATAGCAGTAGACTGCAATAAAGACAGAAATGTTTTCTAATCGTATTTAATACATTTGCAGCGTTTGGACACGTGTGAAGCTCCACAAACAAGAGGTAAATGTTTTCGAACCTGTGTGAAGACCAGTTCCACCAACTCCTTCAACAACTCTTCAGTAGTGACCCAGGAATTGAGCGTGCCACTTATGTATTCTATGTCTGACTCGAAGGAGCCCGGGGAGGAGCTCAGGTGACCGAGAAACTCTGAGACTGCATCTGCCAGTGACGGTTCACCGTAATAGTGTTCACTGTCATCATCATAATAGGTAGGATCCTAATAAAACAAATAAAATAAGAAATACAAACATGAACTGTTTAACTGACAACACAAAATGAACTATGGAGAGCCCAAAATAATGACACAGATTGTAATTTATCAGTTCGTTTTCTCATCAGTTTATCATTTTCTTACTTCATACGAGATCATTCCCGAGGGGACGAACTCCGGAGCGTTAGCCGAGAGAGTCGATGACTTGACCAAGGAATCCACGTCTCTGCTCCCTCTGGAGTCAGATGCGTAGTTTGAGGTCGAACTTTGTCGTGCGTTGCCTTCAACATGAGAAAACAAAGAGGGAGGTGTTAAATGTGAAACACGTTGAAATATAAACCGTCTGTGATGACAAGGAGTTCAAAATTTAACTCGTACTAATAAGAAAAGTACAAAAAAAGATGACTTCATACAGATCTGAGATTTCGAAACGCTGTAAGAGATTTGCGCTCACTCGGTGCGTTTATGTGCTTTGAAAAGACAAAACCAACGGCTAAAAATATTTTATCAGGAGAGTTAAAAAAAAACTTTTAAAATAAAACCCAACAGCAAAAAAAAAAAAAGTGTTCACATCTGATGTTCAGATTATCCTACATTAAACTCTTTCTGGGTCAATTTATGCTAAAGAAGGTGAAGTCAAAAAAGTTTGTCTTGTGCAAACTCATTTTTTGACATTTTATTTAAAAGAAGACAGATTTCCTTGTATTACTTCTTCTTTCTTTTGCATCATCTTTAAGTAATCTTGAGGTTTATTTTTTGTGAGTTTTTATAACTTTAGGCAGTTTGTTTGATCAAATTTCAACCTAACTAATGCACATAATCAATTTCAAAGGAATGTTGTGGTTTTAACCCATTAAACAGCAACTATGAATCATTTACATATAAAGTTAACTAACTAAGATTATAAATGGGTGCTGTCCTTATACCTAAAATATTTTTGTTCAAATTAATGTTTTCATTGTTTTATTCAACACTTTGTTAGTAACAGCTTGTTGCTGCAGCAGCAGCAGCAGCAGCAACAGCAACAACAACAACAACAACAACAACAACAACAACAACAACAACAACA